TATATGTTGTGTTTGAAGATATCATTTGAAATACACTAGTTGATACTTGCAATGAAATGGCATATTTATATATAAAAGATAATCAGGAAATTTCACTGTATACTGCAACTAACTTGCCGACTTTGAGGACGTTCGATAGAGCTCATCAAGTTCTATTTGGTACACCACATTTTATAACTAATACAAGTCATTGAGCAAATTTATTTCAAAAATTTTTATGAGACGTTCATCTTGTGATCTCTTTTATCCACTTCAAAAGTAAGATTTATGAAAAAGAGCTCGATACTGCACTGCATCCTGACATGCTCTTTCAAACAAAAAAACAAAAATTTAAATATATAGTACGAGCTTGAACAGAGAAATTTTGTTTGCCAAATAAGTTATTTTTGACTCTTGTTTAGTGAATATCTCGGCCAAAGATCATAGTATAAAACTGAAAATTTTACTAAATTTCTTGAAGGCATGAGTGTGAGTAAAAGAGAGACACCCACACTCTCACGTCTATTCATATGTCTATCGACATATAGTTTTCATTATTCAATTGGAATGTTCATGTGATTGACACATTACGAATTAAATGGAGCTAAGTCATTTGAAAAAGATGAATTATCTGTTCTACTGAATCGATTGGATAATTCACTTTTAATTCGTTTGTTATGAATTCAGTCTTTGTGATATGAAAATTTTGATCACACTTAGATAATAATGAATGCGTTTCATTGGTGAACAGACGCTATGAATTATGCCCATTGTTCTATTCATATCATATCGGTCATATAGAAAAAAATTCTTTTCTTTCATTCATCGAAATATTGAATTTAAAGGTGAAATTAATAAAACATTATATACAATTGTATGAACAATTTTCAATATTTACAATGGTTAATAATATGAAATTAGAAGATATGTCAAATGAACTTTTCTTATGTATTTGGGATCAATTATTAATGGTTGATGTCATTTATAGTTTTTCTAATCTTAATAGAAGAATTGATGATATGTTATTCGAATTTTGTGGTCTTTACAAAGAATTAGATTTACGTTATTGTTCATTATCAATCTTTCGTTATTTTTCTCATCAAATAGTAATGAAACACGAATGGCGTTTGAATCTAACTGTCTTAAAAATAGGTACTCGATATAGATGTTCTCAAATGACTTTACTAGCCGATGAAGTGATAAAGTTCTTTGTAAAAAATTCTTTTATAGAACAAAATAAACAATACAATAATTCATCAAGAACTTTATTTCATATGATAACTTCACTGAAGAAGAAGAATACAAAATCAATATTTCCTCAATTAAATACTTTAATTGTTTCTCAGAATACAACAATGAATGGAAATTGTCGAGATATTTTTCTATATGCTATTGCATATGGATCAAATCTACGTACATTAAAGTGGATAACTTGTTCATTTCAAACTCACCATTCCAAATCATTTTTTGATTGGTTATTTCAATGTTCAATTAATTTGAATAAATTTCAATTTGAAAACCCAACAAGTGAAAACGGGTTTGAACTTTCTTATGATCATACATTGATTAAGAATTATCAATCTCATCAATCACTTATTTGTCTTAAAATTAATATTCTTAATTTATCCACTCTTTTTGTACTATTCCATTACCTTCCCAAACTTCAATCACTCGGCAAGTTTTAAACCATTCATTGAAAAAATTCTTTGAATCTTTGTTTTCTTCTTTAGATGTTTATATCAGCGATTATATTGAAGCAAAAGATGATCTTGATGAACATTTGCCAAAAACTATCAATCATTCAATTGAACTTCATACTTTAAAATTCAGGTAATATTACTAATTTAAAAAAATAATTCCTTTTTTTTCTATTTTCATTTATTCTATTCAAAGAATATTAAAAATAAAAGGACGAGGTTGTTATAAAATTGAAAATTTAATATTAAGATTTGTTCAATCACTTGAAAATCTATCCATATCAATGTATCATCGATGTGATAATGAACCTCATCTAAATTATAATGGTTATTATCTTAGTATTCTTTGTGAGAAATTAAAACATCTGCGATCATTACATTTTGCTATTCAAATCCAATTATTTGAAAAAGCTGATAGAAATATAATTAACCATTTTACAAAAACATTTTCTACACCTTTTTGGCTCAATGGACCTTTTGGATATAAACGAGTTTGTGTAGATTTTGAACAAACCTATGGTCTTATACAAATGTTTTCTCTTCCATACACTTTTAATGATATCACATTAATTCATTCAATCGATTTAATTAATATACAATTTAATACTGATTTAGAAGAAAATAAAAGATCACAAAGTTTAACTCAAGAACTTGAAACTCTTTGGTCTGGAATGGATCGATTATTTTTACGTTTTGATAAAAATCAAATATTATCTTCATTATTTATTCAAGCTTTACAATGTCCATCTACTCAAAGTTAGTTATATTTGAGATTTTCTTTTCTTCTATTATTCATTCTTTTATGATATAGATAAAACATTAGTATTTTCGCAAAAGAGAGGAATTATATCACAAAATATAGCAAATCAAATTCAATTAACACATTTTAATGTACTTGAATTAGGTGGTTCAATTGATACAAATATTAATTATAACCTTGAAGGTAAATTTATCTTTCTTTTTGATGATTTACGAGAAAAAATTGTCAATAATGAAATCACTTTTGAATCGACAATATGACTTCAATGAATTATTAAATATTGTACAAAACTTTTCTTTTTTCAGATCTTTTAACTTTAGATATATGATTATTGATGTAATTCTATACTGATTTAACTTTAAAGTTATATAATTTAAGATTTTCAAATTTCAAGATACAAAGATGTCTCATATTGCAAAACAATATGAAGTTTGATTCAAATTTACCATTGATCGTACTAATATCTTGATTAACGAAAATGTTGTCTGCAGGAATTGGTTCTATCAGTAATAAATTTGAGCTAAAATTCATTTTGTTTTATAATATGAGACTTTACTATGGAATATCTTTGTATTTTAAATAGAAAAAACATCTAATTTATCTTCAAACTTGGAAATTTTAATCAGCATAAAATATCTGATAATTTATTGAGATATATTATTCGAGATGATAGTTGAGAATGTTTCTTTCATGAACTACATTTGATATTTAGAAATTCCTAAGGAAAAACTCAAAAGTTAATTGAGACATTGACAATTTGTTATACATTAGAATATGAATGGTTTTTTTTCTTTCCACAGAAATAGTTTGTTGGCTTCAATTACTTCCAAATATTATTTGTCTTTACATTAATTTGATAGAATTAAAGTATTGGTTTACTACTTATACAAATAATTTATATCTTCATTCTTTTCTTCAACATATTCAGCTATTGTATGTCGATTGTTCTTCAATAATCAAAAGAGAAATGAATGAAGAGATTTGTGATTTATTTCTTTCGTATATCATTGACAAAGATCGTTTTCCTCAATTAAAATGTTTACGTTTGATGAGTTGCAAAAATATTTCATCATCATGGCAAAATATCGATCAATGGATTAGTTTTATTCTTACTCATATTAATGAACATCAATTAACATGCGTTCGCTTTGATTTTATTGAAAACGAAAACAAAATAACTGAAATGAATATATGTAATCAAATGATTAGAATTCTTCAATCATCATGGATTATCGATATTCATCAAATTGTACAAGATAATCATATTGCATTATGGATCGATCGACGAAAAAAGTATTTCTCATCAATAAAATAATCTCTTAAATGATTTATTTGTATATTATATGTTAAAATAAAGTAGATACATTTGTTGGAAATAAATCTTTACCTGAATAAAAAGAATTCACCATTCTATTTTGTTCTGAAGTTATTATTCGATTATTTAAGAAGTTTTACTTACCAGATGAGAAATGATTTTGAAAAAGAGATTGTTGATGTTTCAAAAGAAGAAATTCACAAGTAACAATGAACAAGTTTTTAATTTATTTTAAGTATGTTAGAACTTTGAATTAAAAGGTGATCATAATATTGAACGTTCATACTTATAATAATATTTCAATGTTTAATTGATTGTTTTTTTTAAATATATACTAGTATTCAATACTTAAAGTTTAGTTTTACGTCAAAGGGTTTCAAATACATTCATGAACATATAATTATTAATATCTAATAGATATCTCGAGTACAAAGTTATTAAGAAGAGTTTTGTATTCATAGATTTATTAAATTCGAAAAATAAAATAAATAAAAACATTTATTTTAGTTGAACTATCTATATTATTATTTAGAAGGAAATTTGAATAAGTGACAAAAAATGTCTTTTGTTTTTTTCATGTCATTATTTATCTTTAAAATCAGAGGTGCAGAATCTTCCCAAAAATCAAAAATTTCCCTCCCCGGAAAAATTTTTTCAAAAACTTCCCCGAAGTAAATTTTGAAAATCCCCCAGAATCTTCAAAAATTTCCCCGAAAAATGCAACTTTAACAAAATGTCCCTCCCCGCACGGGTGCGCACGAGGAAGATTCTGCACGTCTGTTTAAAATGTACAAAACAAATAATTTGTATGATATTTATTTATTCATTCCATCTCAGATAAAACAGACATTTCAACAAGTATTTCTCCCACATATTAATTCTCTAAGGAAAATATTTCGATTTTCTATGATACCGCCTTCTGTTGGTATGCTTGCAAATATGTTATATTTTATTTGAAGTTATTTTTTTTGAGTATAAATACATCATGTATATCTATGTATGCAAGTTTTTTTTATATATTATTTCAAATATACAGCTGCTTAACTAAAAAGATACGTAAGTTATACTGTCTTTACGAACATGAAATGTTTGTTTTCAATGATCTCACATCAGCTACAAATTATCTTTGCTAAGTAGTTGAGTGTATATTAGAAATCTTTTTTTTCGACTTGTTATCACATTAAAGACATTTTATAATATCTTTCTAACAAAATTTGAAGAAACTTTGCGTATAGAATTCTTTTTCATTTCGCAAGATCAAAAAAACTTATTTTATTCTTTTATTTTTATAACTATGACGATTCTAAAAAGATAATTCTGCATGTACCACACAGGAATATTTTGAAAAAGAAGAAATTAAACCTGTATATGTGCATTAGAGCACGTCGGGTCTAGGTCTGAAAATTTTGTTTTTACCGGATCCGGGTATCAAAGCTTTTACTGACCGGACCCAAACCGAAAGAAATATGTTATCGAAATAAAATTATTTTTGAATTTTTTGAATTTTTTATTCATTTCATTCAAAAAGTCTTGGATTTATTTATAAAAATAATAGAAAAAACAACAACAAAACTATTTTCGAAGCAACTATCAGATTTCAAGTAGAAAAATTTACTGAGAGTCTAAAAGTACAGTTCGAGTTCAGGCTAGTGCTCATCAGGATCGGATCCAGTTTGGACCCGGACCTGTCTTCGGGTCTGGGTCCGGGTCCGGGTCTAAAAAAGTTTATTGAACGGGTCCGGATCGGATCCGGGTCTGAAAAAGTGTGGACCCGACGGGCTCTAATGTGCACTAACTGTACTTTTCTTCTCCTTTCTTTTCAATATTTTATGTATATTTTAGTTGTGATGGCTTCAAATAAAGAACAAGCATCAATAGGTTCAATCTCATCATCAGAAAGTCCAACACCATCTGAATCATCCGTATCTTCAGAATGGCCATCACATTATGAAATCTCCGCATCGTCCTCTTCAGAAAGTCTCGCACCTTCTGAATATAACAGCAATGCTGCTGCTGCTGGTGGATATAGTGCAGATGGATATAGTGCAGGTGGATATAGTGCAGGTGGATATAGTGCAGGTGGATATAATAGCAATGATGCTGGTGCTGGTGGTTATAGTACAGACGGATATAACAGTAATGCTGCTGCTGGTGGTGGTTATAGCAGCAATGCTGCTGGCGCTGGTGGTTATAGTACAGACGACTATAACAGCAATGCTGCTGCTGGTGGTGGCTGTAGTACAGGCGGATATACCACCGATGTTGCTGGTGCTGGTGGTACTGCAGGCGCAGATGACGTCGATCCAGATGCAACAACATCAATGATAGAGTATTGCATTGGGTATTTTCCAAGCGCAAGACCTCAAAACAACCCGTATCATTAATGGGTGTGAGTCGGATTTCATCCGTCACTATTTCTTCTATATTATTGTATGAACATACCCGCCGTGCATGTACATACACATCTATCATTTATTTATAAATTTGTTATTTTTATTTTCAACCAAATTTCTGAAATCAATATACTCATCTTATAAGTACATTGATAGTTTCTTATTAATCACAATATTATTTTTAATTTTGTTAATTCTCAAATGTTGTTTGTGTTTTAAGTAATTTTCTTCTAATATTTATTCATACTTGATAAATTAATCTTTCTTCATTATAGTTATCTCTATTTATTTTATAAATTAGTCTTTTATAAATCTTCATTTATTTTAGTTTTTTGTATGTACGTATATATAAAAAAATTCTAACACAAAATAATAATAAAATTAAAAGGAATGATTTTCTTATAAAGCTATGAACTATTTTTATACTTGATATAATAAACAAAGAGTTCTGAAAAAGAAAATATTTCAAATTGTTAACAGCTTTGTCAAACTTTTGAAAAAAAGAAACTCTTTAAAGAAAAATAGATATATGTCGAAAATAAATAAAGTTCTCTTGATACAATAATATTGTTGATCAGTGTTATTGTGTATTATAACATTTTAAGACAATAATATTGTCAAGTATTAGTAGCTACATCACCAATACAAACACAACCATTAAGATTAATACAATACATAATAAATAGGCATTTGCACGAATATCAACAATAATATATGTACGATCAGAACAAAAAGTTGAAGCACTAGCATCACAACGCTTAGAATTTAGTTGACAAATATCAGTAGCACCAAGTTTTTCTACCCATTTGCCATTATAACAAATTAAACCACAAGAAGTGCGACGATCATATAGTTTATGTATATCACATTTATATGTACATGTCACGAAACTTGGACAAAATGATTTACTAGAAACACATTTATCGACAAATTGTTGGAGATATTTTCGTACATAGTTTCAGCGATTATCATCAAAACTAATGTTATCCATATATTCGTCCATTTTTTGCTCATTGCAACATATTGTTAAGAATGTTGAGATAAAAAGTAAATAAGCTATTATTTGAATAATGTCCATCTTGTAGACTCTACTTATTGATCGAATATGCAGATAAATAGTTAAAGTAATATGTATGCATGATTGTGTTTCAATACGAATATTCTCACTTTTACATACTTATTGAACGTTATAGTAAAATAGAATCATCAAATACAACATGTTTTGATTCTATATGCGCCGTGAAAAAACATAAAGCCGATACACTTGATTAGAGATAAATCTAAAGAGTAACGACGTATATCATCAATCCTATAATGACAACGTAAAATTTGTTTTTTTCTTTGTCGGTATAATAAAAGAAACAGGTTTAATTTTAAACATTTATAAACTTGATCGATGGTTAATTTTCAAAATATATCGTTTTATTTGGTATGAAACAGAAATAGTAGTGTAAACTGTGTTCAATACCTACTACTTTAAAATAACTAATTATTTATTTTTTTAATAATTTAATCCATTAGAATTATTTTTCATATTTTCAATATTATTTAAATTAATATGAATAATAAACTTTGATCAATAACAATTTAATAAAAAAAAATATTTCTATAAAAGATTAATTACATTTATTTTTTACTTAAAATCAGTTTTCTAGATAAAAAAAACGTCTTGAGTATAATAAACTTCGTGTAAATTATTTAATACATATAAAATAATATTATTACAAAAATAGTTATTAAAATAAAACTTAAATGAAGATTTTCATTATACTATTTCCTTTATCTTTAATTATTTCATTCGATTCTAATTCTTCATTTTTATTTTATATTTATTTGTTAAATATTTTCATAAGTTAGAAAAAAAACATAATTTTCACAAGATGAAAGCGTTGTTGATCACGCTTTTTCTCTTCTTTATTTTTTATTCTAAATAACAAACATATAACATAACGGGGGTAACGCCTTGTAAGACGGACTAGCCACTTCATTCATATCATATGTTTTAATAGTACATTTTAACATAAAAACAACCGTTTAGAAACTAATCATGACCATAATAATCTATGTTAGGCAGAGGAGGTAGAGATAGAGACAAAAGTAAACCGATGATTTGGAGGGATAACAAAATAAACACTACCTAAAAAAAATCATACAAACCAGCAATAAAGTGGCCTTTCTATTTTTTTACGCTTCATTTGTATTAGACAATAAGAGATCGCCATAAAAAGTTGGGTATATAAACAGTAGCTAAATAGTAGAATAAACATTAATATCATATTGATACAATCATCAACAAGAAATTTTTATCTGAGCAAGTCATTATTATTTCATATATAAATATTAACTATTTTTGTTTTTGTGTTAAGAATATTTAGATAAAAACAATGAAAATCATCCTAGCGATTTTAGTCCTAACTGTTTTTATTGCAACAGCTGTTGATTCAAGAAGATTATCTTATTCAAGATGATGACCTGCTTTAGATTTAGATAGTGAAGAAAAAGAACTTATTTCAACTTCGTGCAGCATTATAATTAAAGTATGTGTTACTCTTATACAAAAATTTAATCTAATCTCTTTTTATTCTAGTTCTAATTGTAATGCATATACATATGATTTGAATACAACAGCACTTAACACATATAATGATCAGAGTTATCAATGTCCAAATGCAACAATATCTGGTGGTTATTGTATTCTTCCATTAAGCGCTGCAATTACTCAATGTAATGGTGATTCGAAATGTAGTGGTTATGCAATGACAGATATGTTAAACTGGCATAACGATCTTGATAGATCTACTGAATATGTTGTTCAATTATCTACTTCTTCAACAAACCCAAGTACTAGCTCATCACAACTCAATCGATGGTTTATTTATCAAAAAACACGTCGAAAATTTTATTAATCTCTAGAAATATCATTATTTTATGGTGATTAATAATTTCAATAAGACATTCAAAAAACAACTTTTATCGTACATTTTTTTTTCCTTTAACCTTTTTTCTTTATTATATTATTTATATTCAATTTATTTAAGAGTAACAATAATTTTCTTTTCTTTTCTTTTTGCCATTATTTTAAAGTAGTTAGTTTTCATATTAATAAATTATTTATCAATAGATTGAAGATTTTATTTACATTTATACAATAATAATAAAATAAATATAAAAAGATGAAACTATTTATATTAATGTAAAACATAGTAAAACTAATTATTAATTATATTGAAATGAAAATAAATGAAATAAAATAAAATTTAAAGTTAGACTGGAACTTCTGATTCTTCCACGAGTCATCTACAGTAGTCATTGCAATTGATTCTCTATGTTACACCAGTTATGAAGTTGTTGATAATGATAAACATGTTAAGTATGACCTATATATAAACTACAATTTTTGATGTAAGAAACGTTAGCGACCGCTTCGAATATATTTGAAATCAATTCGCTCAATGACTTATGTCAGTTATAAAATGTGGTGTGCCAAATAGAACTCGATGAGTTCTATCAAACGTCCTCAAAGTCGGAAAGTTACTTGCAGCGTACCGTGAAATTTTCCGGTTAACTTTTATATAGAAATGTCTTTTCATTACTAATATCAACTAATTTTAGTGTATCTGTTACATAGTTTTATCTTTTTCTCGCACACCTTTCTTATATAAATTCAAGTCAACACTGATTATGAGAATAAATAAGATTTTCAGCGAAAAAAGCAAAAACAAAAAGAAGGAAACAAAAAAGAGAAAGATATTTTTAATTATTTTTTATTTTAAGAAGAAATTAAACAAATGTAAATATAAATACTTGTTTAATAATTGTAAAGGAAAGGAAGAGAAACAAAGGGGAAAAGAGAATAATAAACATTTTTAACAATAAATAAATATATAATACGCGAGACCTTTCGAATTTCTTTTCAAGCGATATGTGAAGAGAATTTTTATAAATGTTATAATAAAATGATTTTAATTGAGGTTATTAATGTAGTGATGATACTAATGCAGAAGATATTACAAACAATAATATTAATACAAAAGATATTATAAATAGTAATTTTAATGTAAGAAATATTATAAATAATGATATTAATAGAGAAGAATAGTGATTAATCTTGTAATTTTCAACACGATAAATTTACAAAAAAATTCAAGGAGGTATATTGTTATATTGGTTGAAGATGTTTTGGGAGGAGCATTTACATCAAAATTAGAATAAATTGAAATAATAGAGGGAGAGACATTGTTACAACAAATTGGATTTTAAAGAGAGAAATTTACAATAATATTGGATCTCTTGTTAAGCAACAATTTTAAAATAACTTAAAAGACATTGTTATACTATTAAGACATTTTTTCAAGAGACATTTTTTTCGAGTTTCGAGCTACTAATATTTATATATATTTATATACGTGACAGATTCTATGTACGAATATGTGTGATATTATAGAAAAATAGACGTAGGATATCTTAGCTCCCGATTCGAGTATTTTCTTTCCTGATTCGCCTATGAGCTGATTCCAACTCTACTCTCCATGATTCTAAGTAGAACTCGACGAGCTCTATCTTGCTTACTAATGAACTTCCTCGCTCAGACCATCCCTTACCCCCCAAAAATGCAAAAAACCGAAAAAATCTAAGTATTTGCTTTCCCGATTCGCTTAAGAGCTGATTCCAACTCTACTCTCCATGATTCCTGATCACAGTTTTAATAATAGTTTTTATCTCTTCCTTTTTCTTTTGTTTTTCAATAAATACTCATAATATATTAAATAAAAATAAAAACTTAATATATATTTTGATAGTTTAATAATAAAGTGTAAACAAATAAGATAAATGAAATATTATAACATAAATAGTAACTGACGTTTCGAACTTTAATAACGTTCTTCAACCGAGTAATCCGGATGTAATGTTATTGAATAAGTTTGTTCTTTTGACTGATATTAAACTAATTACAATTAATTAAAGTTAAAAATTAAATTGAAAATACTACAAAATTTCTGTTTGGAAGTAAAATAATTTGGATAAAAGTTAAACTAACTTAAAAGAAAAATTAAATTAAATTGAGAATAAAATAAAACTTAAATTAAATAATAGTTAAATAGATTATTTGTATTGAATTTGTATCAATTGGATTTCACGGAAAATGAAAGTGAATTTAGACATTTTAAAAATTGAATAAAAATTAATTAAAATATAATGTAACAAGTAAAATTAGAATAAAATTATTTGGTGCTGACGTTGCAATAAGCAAAGTTTATCTTCGTCGAACATATTATGATATGATTTATAATTTTCTTTTTCTTTTGTTTGCCATGTATCATATGATACCAGGACGACAAGACAGTTCTGTTGATACGAGAGCGTGTTATGGTGATTTCTTCGTCGGGCTATCATATGACACATGCCAAATAAAAGAAAAAGAAAATTATAAATCAATTGATATTGTTTTAAAAAGAATAATGAAAACAGAAATATTTTGTTAATAAAATTCGACAACAACTGATTTAAGAAATTTATTAGAATTATGTTTAAGTCATAGTTATTTTGTTTTAATAATAATTTTTATAGACAAGTTAAAGGATTAGCGACGGGTAATGTTTTATCTCCATTGTTAGCAGATATATATATATATGCATGATTTTATTGATAATACATTACATGAAATTAAAGATAGATTATTTAGCTACGTAGATGATATTTTTATTATTATAAAAATGAGGGAAGATAAATTAGAATCTTATGTGAAATCATTAAATTTAAAAAAACAAAAATAAAACAAGTAACGCTTCTCCGAGGACTCGCTTAGCTCTTTCTCGTAGAAATCCATTTTCTACACCTTTACTGGAAAAACAAATAAAAAACGTAAAAAAATTAATTTCGATGTTTTTTTGACCTTTGAACTCTCGTCTCCACCGTCCACACTGAAAACAAAAAAGGGTTTATACGAAACTAAAAAAAGGTTTCTATGTTTGTAACGAATTCGAAACCTTTTTTTGGTTTCGTATGATCGAGATTCCGTACCATACTATGGTCAAACCTACATGAAAAATGGTTTCGTGGTCTAGGTTTCGTACAAACCTATTTTTCAAGAGTGAATAAAAGGGTTTCGTAATCAAAACCTATTGCAATTCAGTCTCTAGTTTCGCAAAATGCACGATTCAAGACTGTTTTTTATTCTGAAGGAGTTCTGATACCAGACTGCCGTTTGACTCCGAAGATTTAAGAAATCTTCTTGTGAACTCAGTATAAGATATTCTTTTCTGTTATTTTAAATAAGCATTGTTTACTAAGCAATAGCATTTATTAACTTACTTATATAATTCTACCGTGCAACAGTAAAAGGTACACGCCTCCCTAGCTTTTCTCTGTATAGAAGAGGATCATTTGAATTATTCTCAATGGTGAAGTTGAGCTTGTGATCATCTAAATGAAAGAAAATAGAATTAGTTTTATAGAAGTACTTTGCTTACCAACTAAATTATTCCTTGTATCATTTTGAATAAGTAGAATTAGTTCATATTAAACCGATTCAATATTCATAAATCCATTCTTCAGATCAATCTAAATGTAAAAGAAAAGAGTTAATTTATATCAAAATAATAATTGATTAATAAAATTATTCTTTCGAACGTTCTAAATATGGAAAAACAATAAAATTATTTAAAATATCAACTTATCCGTAAAATTATTCTATAAATCAACCTAAATATAAAAGAAAAAACTATTTCAGCTTGAAATAACTAATTACCTTTAACTCTGTGTTTTTAGTTCATCCTAAACATAAAAAAAGAAATTTAATACATATTTAAATTATCACTTACATATAAAATTATTGTTTAAGTAAACCTAAATGTAGAAGAAGATACATAATTTATAACAAAATACTTCCTTACACGTAAAATTTATTCTTTTGAGCTATCCAAATATAAAAGTATTGAAAGATTTCAGAAGAATACATACTGCTGAATTTGCTGTTGATTTTGAAAATTGGATGTACAATTTGTTTTGAGATGTTTTGAAAAGCTTCGAAACACTTACACGATATTTTGCTTTTCTTTATGACAATTTTCTGAATTTTTTTGAAAGATTGACAAAATTAAATCAGATCGATTTTTTCTCGAGAAGAAAATGTAAAGGGTTGATAAGAGTAAAAAGCTCGAATATAATTAGATAGAAAGCAGAAGATATTTTTTGAAATAGCTTCTACTTTAGTTTGATAAACGTAATATAGATAGAATTAGTCAACGAAAAGTTTGCGTACTCATATAAATAAAAAATTGAACAGAAATATTTCTAGTTAATTTGTCTTTTAACTCGTGTACGTTTTACACGTAATGCTATTGGTTCTTCGGAACTAGCAAGACGTTTTTTTGCTTGACAAGTTTTTTTATTTGAAATAGTTGAAGATCGATCAGTTGATGCTGCTGATACTTGCTGTTTGATATTTACTTCACATAATGTATTGCCGTTTGAAGATGATGAAGATGCTATTTGTCTTTGTTGTTCTTTTGTTGGTGAAATGTGAATAACAAGTGGAGGATCCATTGGTGATAATGAAGAAGAAGAAGAATCTGACGATTCTGATGAATACTCATTGATCAGATCCTTATCACCAATATATGTAGCTGTTGTTTGATCTTGACTATTACCTAATAATACAATATAAATAATTCATTTTATTTATTATACAATGAAAGCAAACCTGTTGTACTTTTGGTATATATTTCTTCTTGTTCTTCACTATCTGGTAAATCATCAGTTTGATTATCTTCGACTTGTGTCACACATTCGACTGTAGCTGTAAGAGGGTGTGGATATGGGAGTTGATAGCCTCTCTTTAATCACTCACAACCAGACCCACACCCACCCAAGATTGTGTATACCAAATTGTAATTCGAATATAACATATAATGAAATAACAATACATAAAGCTTGATCAATTGATGATGTTTCACTAATAACTTCATAATCAAGAAAAATAATAAACTGATCTGTTGTTATCTGTATAGCTGGTCGTGGCGATAATGGTTCCTTAACGATAAAGAAAAAACTGTGGCCTTTTCTTTTTATAAAAAAAATAATCAATAGACATGATTAGCCAGTTGATTATGTGATGATTTTAGTTTTTAAAGAGATTTATTACGTACTTTATTCGATATGATTTGTTGCCATGAATCAGTGAAATACTTGGATAAAAGTTTGATCAAACGTACAGCTAGATGATCTAAAGAATAACTGAACGATATTAAACAGATAAACAGTCAAAGTAATCACTCACCGTTCACAAAATGTGAATTATCTAGAATGCTATCAAGTAATTTAGGCAACACAGATTTCAGGTTTTCTTCCATATTGACATTGCACACATAGCGAATCTCGTCGAAAATGTTTAAAAAACAATTTTAATAAAGAAATTATAGAGAGCGAGAAAAGATAATGAAGAGCATACCAATGAAGTATAGCAATAACCTCGATATTCTTCAAGAACTTCGTTTATTGTATGATTTTTGATAAAAACCCCTGGTGTAAACTAATGGTTTTTTCTATGAACTTCTAACTAATTCCAAACTAACATTCGAGTCTAATAATTCGTTCTTCATAATCTGGATGCTTTTATTTAAATCTTCTGGATCATCATGAATATCTATTGTATTCCAAAATTGAACCGGAAACTATAATTAAAAAGATAAAAAAAATAATTTTATTCTATGATTCCGTTTTAAATAACATTTTTTGAGTGCTTACTAATCGTCCAGATGCAATGACACCTTCATTTCTTGTACTTGTACAGATATTTGTTGAAACGGACGATGTTCTCTCTTAAACTTGATTTTCAGACTTTCAATTCATTCATTTTATAAGACAAAATACACTTCTATGTTAATACAATATCAACAATAGATTCTTGAATATTTTATTTTGAAATAAGTCATGTGACCAATCAATAAACTTATAAAATGAAACAACTTTCATCAACTAAAGTTTTATATAATGAGATAACTTTTTTGAATTGAACTTTTATAAAATAAAATAAATATTTATATGCAAACGAAATACCTCCATGTATTAAATAATTGTTATTATATATTCAGCTAAATAAAATCTAATAGAATTTAATAACTAATATAAAATAAAATAAAATAAGCATTTACATACAAAAGCGATACTTTTATATATTAAACAATTGTTACTATAAATCCAGCAAGTTTTTTATCCAAATTGCTACAATATAAGTAGAGTAATATTCAAGATGAAATATTAAGCGTTTTGTAAAATCTAAATCAAAGGCAACTTAATCAGAACATATAATATCTTGTGTTTTATGCTTAAAAAAGGCAGCTCGAAAAAGCAATAACAAACAGCACGGTGTTTGAACAATTTGCAAGTTCCTTGTAGAGATTGTGACATTCGTTGCAAAAAATAATAATCAAGAGTGAGTGCAACAAAAAAGATTATTAAAGTCAGCTGAGAATTTAACTAATAAGATGTGGTGAATATAGACTGGCTATAAATAATTGAACATTATCCAGTTATATCATTTTTTTCACTCAAACAAATCATTTATGGCGTCAAAAGAAGTTGTTGATATTAGATACGCCATAAATGAGTTACCAGTACACCCAGCATTTTCAAGGTACTTTTTAACACGAAATCTATAACAGTTTTATACGAAACCTTCAAGAATCAATAAACCTAAAACGATATTATAAAAAACCTTTTTAAGGTTTCAAACTTTTAAGGATTGTCACACGAAACCATGCACATTACTAAACCTCGTACACATTTCGAATAAGCATGCGGTATCTTTTAGAATAAAATAAACTTCTACAAAATCTTAAAGGTTTCGACGAACACCATTTTGTTTTTCAGTGCACACAATCACCAAATAGACCTCAGATTCGAAGTCCCAATATCGAAAAACCTGTAGAAATGTGTTTTCCAGAATATCGATTTTCGATGTTTTTTAATCTTGCGGATACACAATCAAACAAACAATTTATGTTTACTGGACTCTTCTCTACGAGAAAGAGAATTTACACTTGAATATGAAGAAAATAAAGAAATAAATTTTTTACATACAAATGTAACTAGAAATATCAATGAACATCAATTAGAATAAGATGATTTCGTAAATCAACAGCTAATGATAGATTTTTAAATTTTCATTTTAGCCATCATAATTCAATTAAATAATATATTATTAAATATATGACAGATAGAACAATTAATATAACAACAAATAGATTTAAATATATTAAAACAAATGTTTTTAAAATCAAGTTTTCTAAAAAAATGAAAAGAAAAAACTATAAAAAAATGTCTACATAATAGTAGTAATAAATCGAGTCTTAATGAATTAAATAATATTCATAATAATAAAGCTTGAATCAAAATTTACATTATCGTTATCATGTGTAACAGGAATAGAAGTTCTTAAATGTAAATTAGGACAAATTAGTATTGAATTATATTTTACATATCCTTTAAAATTAAGATCTTTAACAACTGTAAATATAAGATGTAAATCAAAATCTATTATATAGCAAATGAGTTGTTAATGTAGTGCGATTTATAATGGAGAGACAAAAATTGGATTAAAGGACAGACTGAAACAACGCAAATATGAGATAAAAGTTAATGATATAAAGTCATAATCAAAAGTAGTTAAACATCACTATATTAAAAATAAAGAATGTTCTTTTGATCCAAATACAGCATTTATTATCGATAGCGAAACAAATTATTGCAACAGAAGAAAAACGGAAGCATTCTATTCGGTATTAACTAAATCCATCAATAAATGTGATTCAATCGACACTGTAAATTTTTTTGAAATTCTAAGAATGACTTGGTTACGTTCAGCAATTTTTAAATTTTATAATTCGCTAGCTTGTCTTCGAATTTTTATGAAATCGTTGATTTTCGCGAATCTATAAATTCAACTTTATTTCCCAGCAAAAAACTGTAGGTTGAAAATCGCTAGTGATTTTCAAATATTTGAAAATGTTGGTCGAATACATATAGGCATTCCTAGAATATCCTTCAAAAAAATTCTATAGCTTATTTTCTAGTTTACAGTGTAATGTACGAAATGAACGTTTACGTACACAAGATCATGAGTTGATGAAAATGCTTTTAATTCAAATCATTTTTAGTATTATATGTATAGCTCCATTTGCGATTGATACTATTTTTAATGCAGCTGTAACAAATCTTACTCATTCATTATCCTTTATGGTAATCAATACATTTGCTGGCACATTACCTCGTATTTTTATATATTTTAATCCAATTGTTGAATTTTGTATTTATATTACCGTTGCTACCAAAATTTCGTGAAAATTATAGACCTTGTTTTTTTGCTCGTTACTTTTAGAAGAAATTCCCAAAGTACGTAACCAAAAATAGCTGATTCTATTATGTTTTATATGAAAAAAATATAATATTATTTTATTTTTATTTATTTAAAAAAGCAACAGAAAACTTATCTAAACACACATATTTGATTTTTCTACAACTGTACAAAAAATCATCGCCGTGAGAGTCCTTATAATTTATGTCATGTCAACATGGTGTTGCTTTCTTAATATGTGGTGGTGATATTGTTGATGCTGGGATTATTGATAATATAATGCCTCTACAATCTCTTCGACTTTGATTCATTACCATGGACTCTAAGGCAATGTGTTCTTTTAATATACAGCACATTGAATCACATAAATGTGAGGCTAAAAGAGATACAAATAAATAAAAGATAAATTACAGAAAAAAACTTTATTTTACCTTGCATTCCTCGATTCGATAATATTGGAGGGTGTGAGTGTGGGTGTAGGTGTGGGTGTGGGTGTGGGTGTGGGTGTGGGTGTGGGTGTGGGTGTGGGTGTGGGTGTGGGTGTGGGTGTGGGTGTGGGTGTGGGTGTGGGCGTGGGTGTGGGTGTGGATGTGGGTGTGGGCGTGGGTGTGGGTAGTACACGTCCCGGGTATTTTGTAGTATCACCATGTTTCCGAATGCGAATAGTAGATCGGTTTGAAACGGCATGAGCAATTGATAGAATCCACCGATCTTTTATTATAAACCCCGATGAAAAGTTAGCCACTTTAGATCGCACTTGCCTAAAGTAAAAAATACGAGTAGTGTAGAAATCGTTAACTCGGTCCAACTAGTAAACTTCTTCTTCAACTTTCAACTATTAAATTTATTAGTAGGCGCCTCCAACTATCCAACTATTCAAATATAATAGGTGAATAGGTGTATTCTCTCGATATACGGGTATGTCGCACATCAGTCTATGTAACGAAACTCAGCTGCTTTTTCCTCCACACCCTTCCGGGCACCCACATTCAGCTGCTCCCCTCTGCAACTTTCCGAACACCTGCACTTAGCTGCGCCCTCCCCCACACCCTCACCCACCCACACCTACCCTAACAAATTTAATCGTTGAATGGTTGGAGGCTCCTGTTAATAAATGTAATAGTTGAATAGTTGAATAGTTGGATTCAACTTACTACTATTATACGTATGAACAATTGATGAAAAATTACAACGATATCATGATATACAAATTGAATTAGATATACGTAAACAAATTCTTGATACATTAACATATGATTATCCTCAAATAATTCAACAAATATCTTCACCTATTCAGCAATTACTTACAAATTTTGAACAATTAAAAACAAGTATAAATCAAAAACAACAAGTAAAATTTGAAGTAAATAAATAAATAAATATTTTTTTTGATTTTCTTTTTCTTCTATTTCTATTAGAATATGAAAAACAAAATCATCGACAAAAAGATTATCTTAATCGTATGGAATCATTGTAAGAAAGGCTTAAAAATACAAGTAACGCTCCTCCCAGGACTCGCTTAGCTCTTTCTCGTAAAAATGCATTTTTTTCACATTTACCAGAAAAGCAAATGGAAACCGTAAAAAATCGGTTTTCGATGTTTTTTGACCTTTTATCCACACCCACACACCCCTAGCCGTGGCCACCCAACAAATCTCAAAGTCGAACTCCCCGTATCGAAAAACCTCTAGAAATATCTTTTCTCGAAAATCGATCTTCAATGTTTTTTTGACCTTGCGGACACACAAGCAAACAAACAATTTATGTTTACTGGACTTTTCTCTATGAGAAAGAGAATCTATCGATATGAATCATTAAGTGATAAACGTGATCTAGATTCTTTCGAAAAAGAACAGAAACGTTTACGTGATAATCATCAATCTATCAATGAAAAGATTCATGATATTGATTTATTATTACAAAACATAAATAAGTTAGAATAATTAAATAAATATGAAATTATTTGTTTGTTTATTTATTTATTTATTTACTTATATTTGATTTTTATTTCAGTTCAAATTTACCAAATGATACTCTACAAAAATTAGAACAAGAAATTGAACATTTAAAAGGACGTTTTACTGAATCAGTTACAGAAGTTGAATCTAGGACAATATTTATCAAGAAAATTATTAAAGTAAAATAAATAGAAATTATCTTATACAATTCACGAAGAAGTTCTATGTATTTCTAACTTGCTCCCCTCCAGAATAAAACGACCATATTCTTATACAATGTTTGGGCACGTTCTTACTTTTTCCGTGATCCTCTGTTCTCCTAAAGAATGCTCGTGATGCGCATGTCTATCACTTTTTCCTACATATGATGTAGATGAACAACAATGTAAACATCGTAAATATCAAGAATCTTTGAATAAACTTACTTCACTTTTACAGTATGACAATGAAACATCTGATAGAGAGAGAAGAATTCATTATTTAAAAATAATATTAAAGAAAAAAAAATATCTATTGTAATTTAGTCAATTGAAGATGCATTAAAATCTCTTGATAAACAAATGATAAAATTTAAGAATGAAAATAAAGAACGAGAACGACGTAAACGTGAACATGAACGTGAATGACATTTATTTATGGATAAATTAAGTTTATTACGTTGCATATTAACTACATTTAAACAAACAAAAAAAAAATAATGGAAATGATTCTATTGAAGAACAACTTCATCTTATACGGGTAATTATTATTTGATTTATAAATTTTATTCCATTTTCCTATTATCATATAGAATCAACATCAAGAATTAGATCAATATCAACAAGATTTATTTCATTTAAAACAAAACGGACAAACGATGTCTATTGATGATGGTAATCCTATGCCATTACCATCAGTAATTTAACTTTTACAATCAATGATTACTTTCTTAAAACGCCAAGTTTGAATTCTAATATTTATTTTTAAAAGTTTTCTTTCAAACTATATTTTTCTTTAGTCTGAACAACATCGTCAAGCATTATTAATTCAAAGTGAACGTCATCGAGATATTTATTTTAATGAATGTAAATTATATGAAGATATATATCATTCTATTCAAATAGCATCTACCAGTGATCAATATGCTCGTCAATTATTTGAATATAAAACTTATAATGAACAAATAAATCTATTATATGATCAATTAAATCAAGATACACGTACGCGTTATATAAAACAACATGATCAATTAGAAAAAACCTTCAAATGATTTATAAGATAAAATAATTCAACAAATGATACGCTTAGAATATTTATTACGATTATGGAAAGAATATGAAATAAGACTTGAAGATTTAAAACATCAAATAGATGATATACAAAAAAAATTATTATCAATAAAACGATTATGGCCTTTTGAACAAATAGAAACAGTTTTTGTTCTTTATAAGAATTTTAAACAACATTTCGTTATTATTGAACCAGAATTATTACATCTAAATGATAAAATACCAGTTCTATGTAAAGAATTAAATGTTATCTCATTACAAAATGATATTACATATGTGAAAGATAATTTTAATAGAATAACTATAGATATAAAAGACAAATTTGATAGATAAAATATATATGTGAAGTAAAAAACAACAACAAACTAGTCTATTAACTAAAATTTTCTTTATCTATAAAAATGTAATTGTAATCGGTAATGATATAAAACATAATTTAAATACGTTTGAAAAAATTAATATTAAATCAATGTTCAATTGAATCTCAAACAATACATGATTGGGATGCTATTGAAATAAAAAATAAATTAGACGAAATGATAGTAAGTATATATATATATATATATTAGATTTATTATTCTTAAAATGTATTTCATTTTTTAGGATGTAGAAAAACGTTTCGATAATATTGCAGATATTTATTCAAATACAACTACATTAATTAAACATTTAACAACTTATAATTTATATGATTTACAATTAGTAGAAGAAATATTTAAAAATTTTCATCAAAAATCGACATCAATTAAAGTAAAATGAAGATTTAATTGAAATATAATTTTTATAAAAACAAAAATCGCCTTTTTTTCGTTTTATATAGACAATAGTTTTACGAAATGAAAATATTCTACATTAAAATATCATTAATAGTTTACCATCAAGACAAACCTGTAAAGAAATAGTTTCATTTAAGGAAACAATAAAACGTTTGTTGGATGAAGATCATGGTGCATCAGTTAATAATAAAGAAGCTTTAGAAAAATGACTCAAACAATATCAAGTAAATTACTCATTCATAGTCAATAAATAAATATATATTTAAGTTTTATTGAAATAGTACTTACACAAATCATGTATTCAGAGAAAAGAATATCGATTAAATTATATAAGGAGAATTGTATTCTTTGAGTCAATTGAATTTACTTTTGTAATAAGTAGATTATTTGCCAAATATTTAATATCTTTTAATCATAAGCATTCATTCTCAGCCATTAATTTTATATGAATATAAGTTTCGTAATCAAAAAGTCATTTTGAAAGATTCATAATCTACACAGTAGAAGTCGAGAGAAATTGATATTTTACTTAAAGATTCTAGCACTCTTATATATTTTCTAGTATCATAACAACCATTTAGATGATACAATAATATACGAGCAAAATTTCAGGTTGTTTAAACCACTATTGATACATACTAATGACTTTTATAGAAAAGATGTTATAAGTGTCAAATGTCAAAAAGAATTTAACGTTAAACAACGTTCATTCATGACGCATCAATATTACAAGGTAAAGCAAATATTTTCTCCAACTATCTCTGTTCTATTACTATTGATGTATATATATATAATTCATTAGAAGTGAATGATATTCTAATACGTCTACGAACATTGAGTCGTGCATGAATAAAGTTATTCAGTCAATTGTTATGTTTGAAAATTAATTTTGCATTTATATATGTCATAAGTTTAGTAGTTTTATCTTGATAGTTTCACTATTTGGATATTTTAGTTTTTTAAACATATTTCAATTGTTTTTGTAAAGGGTATGCGTGTGGATGTACTTAATCATCAAATGATAATTGCTATTCCTAATGAATCATTTTAACAAGAATCAAATGTAGATTTAACAAGTATTGATTATATGGAACAAATAGAACAAATTAATATTGACTGGATTCAAATAAAATCATTGATTTCTACTCGAATCGATATAAGAATAGGATTAATTCTAGAAAATTGATTTTATATATATATATATATATATATTTTGTTTTAAACAGACTGTAGAACAATTGAATGATCAATTCAATGAATTTGATCAAACAGTTTGAGCATTATGGGACTGATTTCAAGAACAAACATCTGATCTTGAATTTATGAGATCAAGAAATATGAAAGCTGATATTAAAGATAATTTACAAGGATGCAATGTAAATCATTTTTTTTTCTATAAATATTTTAATTTTTTTGTAAATATCAATAAGAACTTGAATATCAATTATCATCTAAACAACAAATACTTACATCATTAAAATCTAATAGTAATCGAATGTCATCTTCATCATCAACATTTCGTATATCTCTGATCAAGATGGTACAATACAAAAGTTACGTTATATGATTCATCATTTATCACCATTAGTTGAACAATTAAAATTGAAATCAAAATCTATTCTATCAGATTGGCAAGAATATAATCGTAATTTACTTCAAATAGAAATTTTTTTACGTGAAGCTAAAGCAGAAGCAGAAATTGATCGTGTAGAAATAAGTGTAGTAAATGTTGAAACTTATGAAATGAGTACAAGAAAAGTTCAAGTAATTTTTTAAAATTTTCTTATCATCTTTAAAAATATTACTTAATAAATTATCTCGAGATTATAACATTATATTGTTATAATTATTGGATATATTTTTTTTAGGAGCATTTACAAATCATGGAGTTACATCGACATGAATTAGAATAAATCACTTCTCAAGATCGTCAATTATCTGGTCATTGTGATGATCAAATATCAATAAAAATTAATGTAATAACTCAACGTATTCAACAACAATGGACAATAGTTGAACAACGTTCAAAAGAAATAATTAAGTCAGCACAAGAAATAGTTCATAATTTCACAGACAATTTAATAGTTTATTCGTTAATTTATTTTGATCGATTGAGTGAAGTTGAAAGTCGATGGTATACAATTCAACGAGAAAAATTTACATCGGATGTAGAATCACTTTTAGAAAAAGTGTAGGTGAGTAAGAGAATATCTTAAGTTTTCTCATAAAAATCAATTAATGTGCCATAGTTATGATAGACCAATCCAAAATTAACAGAATCCAATAAGCAATTGTATTTGTCTAGTGGAAAGTTTCTGATAGTTCATTCACTAATATTCTATCAGAGTTTTTCCTATGTCTCATCTTAGATAAATCAAAAAAAAATACTAAGATTAAAATTGCTAGAAAAATTATATAATATGTCAAAATATTTTCTTCATTTAGGATTTTCAACAACGTATTCAACAACTCAATAATGAAATAACAAAACTACATGAATATTCACTAAAATTAAATAAACATTTACCTTCTATTGCTGCTCAACAAAAAAAAATACACAATATTCTGTTATTAATAATCAATATTCTGAATTATGTTCATTTCAAGATAAACTACTAACTGATTGTGATGAATTAAAATAACGTGAAAAAGTTTATTTCGAATATATAAATAAATTAACATAAATAAATAATTAATCAAATTCAAACAACATTTAAATCTTAACAAATCAATGATAAAAATGAAACAAATAATCTTAAACAACTTCATATATTATTTCAATCAAAACATAATTTAATTCAATGTTTAAATTCAAGTGAATATTTATCATATTTTAAACGTGCTAAACCTTTTTATGAAATTATAATTGAATATTTTCATAAAAATGAATCAGTTAAAAATCGTATAAAACAACTTGAAAGTAATCAATATGATAAACTTAATTTTGGTAAATGTTATCAAAAATAGAATGAATATATTCAAGCTATTGAACAAAATTAATCTGTTACTTATCATATCAAAATTATTTATTATAATTATATAGAACAACGAACTTATACAAGGGAATTCGAAAATGATGAAATAAATAGAAAAAAACTTCGAACACGTTCGAATACGAATACATAAATAATATTATAAAAAAAATCAAATGAATTACAAAAACCAGCAAATGAAATTAATATGAATATTAAAAAAAGATTATATGTAGGGGTAGGACAGTAAGAATTTTACTTGAATTCATTGATAAAATAATAATCTTCCATTGATTTCTTATATAAGTACCAATTTTTTTGGTACATAACACGTACCTATCATTAATCTCGGCTCGTTTTTTCGTATCCATGCGGGCCTAAATGTAAAAAACTGAATTAGATACAGTGAGGGCCGTAAAAAGCCTAGTCTTTTTTGTTTTTACATATAAACGAATGATAAGAATATTCTAAGAATTTTCTCTTATATCTAGTTTTGTAGAGTTTTTTTCACTGATCATTTTGGTAAAAAGATTTTTTAATTTTCAATGGGTAATGACAATAT